ATAACAAGAACCATTATAACACAGTATAATCACACAAAAAATCTAAAATAAACTAAATTTTTAGATATTATTTTCAAGTTTAGGATCATCCCCTGCTTATCTTTTTATCACAATGAATATACATCCATAATTAACATTAGCAGATCTAGCTACTGATAGAAGGGAGGTTACAATTTTTAGATAAACAGTTGAAATTAGTCTGAAAGGTTTCTCAAGTGGTTTGTATGTTAGCAATGTATTAAGCATATTCAAGTTTTCCAACAGTTTAAGGTTATATCATCTTCATTATTTATAAGTATTAGTAATACATCTAGGAATGACAGGTAAAAGCAGTTACAATTACAATTGATAAGATTTTGCTAATTCAGTTGTATTGCTTTCATTGTTATGGTATCAATATCTATGTATAATATTAATAAAATCCATTCCTTCCAGTCTGGAGACTGAAGTAGAATTACAAAGCTATGTCCAGAAAAACAAAAGGATATTTTTTTCAATAAAGCTTCTCAGTTTCAGAACAATGCAGTGCAGTGGTATTATCTGATAATAGAGATGTGGTGAAGTAGTTCAAAACTGATAGCCAGATGCTGTGTTCAAAGTATTAGATGAATTAGTACATCTTTACAACCTTGCAATTTATTCAAAGTATTTTAGCAACAAATTATTTTAAGAATATCAATACTAAGTGTCATATGACAAAGAAAAGATTTCCTTCTATTAGAAGAAAAAGAGTGTAGCTAATATTGTAAGGTGATATAGCATGACAAGTAGCTACAGACATTACAAGAGCATATCTCATAAAGTGTAGCAATAGTCATAGTTCAATAAAATTTCTCTTCCAAGTCATATGACATCCTGAGCATGGCTGAATACCTTTTCCAAGTTTTCTTAAGAGTATTAAAACAATTTTCTTTTTTTTCTTTTTTTTCTTGTTCTAAGAGTCTGGAAATTACTCAGAGTGGTTTTGTTAGTTCTCAAACTGAGAACAATTGAAATAAACTTGTTAGCTCTCTGAGTCCTTATTAGCCTTGTAATAGCCACTACCAACATGGATTGGATAAGCACCTGAAGAATGGAGAAAAAGGTAATGATTAATAAATTCAAATGTACATTTGAAGAGCTATACTCTGATACAGAGTTGAATGAGCATGAATAACATAATCCCTTCCACTGATAAAAAGCTCTAGATATATTTTTCAAATACATCCTTCTCTACAGGACGGAAACATGAGAAATATGTATGAAATCAAACAGTATTAGGTCCCTGGGAAATAAATTTTACACACTAAGATTCAGAATGATAAAACATACATCATAGCTTGCCTGATTATATAATAAAGGAAAAGTATATTACTTGAGTATATACACATATCATCCAAGTAACGAGTATGAAGATGCATGGAAGATGTTAAGCGGACCGAGGTAATGTAGCAACGAAAGGTAACTGAGCAATAGATAGAAAGCATCGAACTTGGTTGATTAATGAAGATGAGAAGTACAGAGTAAAGGACGAGAGAGGAGAGAGGTGTATGAGAGTGCTAGCAGTAACTCAAGACAGATTCAAGACCCTACTACATTCGGGAGGAGCAGGAGTCTTTACCTGAGTATAATTACTTACCATGAAAGAGAGGTAACGAGTCAAAATAAGACTATGATGTTACCGTTGGAGAAATGAGTGACAAGTTAGAAGAATGAGGAGCGAAAGTACGCAGAAGAAGACACAATCAATCACTCATGTCACTAGATACGCATGGAGAGATATTATAGCGTAAAAAAACAAAGAGAGAAGGTAGGAGAAATTTGAAATGAGAGCCGGATGGAATAGGATTCAGCAAAGCTTGGTAGAGCATAACATTGCACACCCACCTATAGTATGTATTCTATACATATCAAAATTGTGGACAAAAGATAAAACTCGATGTACAGAGTACAACATTATGTCATGCACAGTAAGATTCAGCGGTCAGAACCGATGGTATGAGGCTGTATGCCCATGTCATTCTGAAAAAAAATAGATATCTAGCATATAATCTCATTTTGCTGTATATAATGCAGGTATGATTTATGAGTCACCATGAGATACAGCAAGAATAGATTTTGTTCAGAATGTAGTATTTGCCATATTTAACAGGACAAGGTTGACGAACTCAATCTTGATCAACATCCTTCTCTCTCTCTCCTCTCTCTTAAGGCACATTACTGTTCATGGTTTATTTTTTCCCAGTGTTAGAACTGTATATCTATTCACTTGGAAGTGTGATATAGAAAAAGAAGAACAGGCAGCATGAAGTGTGCTAAATAATCCCAGTATTCTTATGTTCCTATTAACTGTGTAAATCTCTGAGGATCTGATAGAATTAATTGTCAAACATGGCAATTATGCCTTGTTTATAGGAATTACAAGCCTCAGCTCGTTATTCATCACATCAGCAGGTTTGATATTACATCTATGTATCCCTCTATGCGAATGTTGCCTACAGGATAACATTTCACATATAATAAAATTTCGCTTTCCTTTTTTTGTTCTCACTTACACGAATTTGCTTATTTATTTTTATACAAGAATCATGAATTCTTGGAATAGATAATCTATCTCCCTATTTCTATTGAGATAGAGATTCAAGTATCATAGTTCATTAGTAATTACTATGTTTCACATCCATCAACTACACAGCAAATCCTACCAATTCTACATTCGTAGATTTCTGATTCCTTGCTAAACATATCAATTCTAACTATTTCAGCTAGTAGTAAAAGAATTGTTTCTTTTTCGCTACAACACTTTCTTGCGAAGCATAGTAGCCGATGAGGTGTCCTTGTGGGTTATCGATGGGTGGTATGTGTGAAGTAGATCGATCGTGTAGATTAGCGAGGATAAGTGTACTGGACGATTATAGTTCGAGAAGCCTTTACTGGATCTTTTCAGCGTTCAGAAGAGTAACCTCGCATTTATTTTGTATATAGCTTTCAAAATGAAAAGTGTTAGGAATATAGCAGGGATAGCACGAACTACTCTTTTCTCAGAGTACACAAATTAATTGCTCGAAAAGCAATAATTCAGCATATCACTAGCAGATAGTTTTTTTCTAACAGTAAAACATGCGCGAGCAAAAATCGTCAACAATATCATGCTATTACTTGTTCCTTAGACAAAGAGTTCACAACAACAATGACTCAAAGAGCTGCAATCTGGATAAATCATTCTATAACACAACTCAAATATTATGCTAACGCGTAGATTATAATACAATATCGAGAATATGCCAATAAAATACGCTTGAAGCAACCATAGACGTTAAATCTCAAGTAGCACGAGGTTACACCAGTTCAGAATTGAAAACACCCAGTAAACTATAAATACTTCAAAGACCATAGACTAACACTTTACTATCTCAGTCGAGAGAGATATGAATAAAATTATGATTTTATAATATAATATATACAGCATTCACTATCATAACATTGTATACTATAAAGTATTACTAATATGACATATAATATAATAAAATCACTATAGCACACATCATAATTCATCTCACATTAATCTGGAATATTAACTATATCTATACACACATTGTGCTGCGCATATATACCCTATTAATTAAGTCAATGATATAATATATTATAATTATAATACTAACAAGAGCAATGAATAAGCAATCATATAACACTAGCTTATAAATGTATGTATATAGAGATACAATCATACACTGACAATAAACACATGATAATTGTTATATAACGCCAAATCTTCACTCTATAAGAATATTTTAGATAAGTAGTCAGCATCACACATCTCCACACTCACACATCATGCACACACAAGCAGTGACACCATAACACACACACAAAACAGACACTACACCATAGAGAACACCGATGAATGATGTTTTCTGAACAATTAATTGATGATCACTATTAACGCTATGAAAGACTTGGCATTGCAACCTACACACGAAACAGAAGTCATCAAAAACATCGCACATGATGAGTTAACACAATTAACTATCTATATATATACTATATATAAATATAATATATATTAATAGTTAAACATATGTATATAATTAGTATAATACCCTTTAATCAATGTATAGTGAGTCACATTATTTCTGAGTATATATTATTATACTATAAGGTATTAGTACATGTGTCTTAGTTTGATATGCAAACGGAAAAAAATAAATAAGTCTATAAATAAACACCTGAAACTGACAACAAGAATTGATGTGTTTAACACACAGGTGTGGCGCAGATGCAATTCAAACTAACATGATCTACAGCTAATACGACAATGTATGTAGGCAGTATAATACTTACATACATACAGATTTATTCCTCCATAATAATTATTTCTTAATATTTGACTATAAATTTATGCATTTAACACTTAGATTTTCTATCTAATCATCATATAATCAAATATATATACATATATACATACATATCTGCTCACACACACACTTACTTATATATAGACCACAACTTTAGATTGCGAATATATCACATGCATAATATTCATACCATCGAGCGAGAGCAAACAGTTTTCTTGTATCACGAATGCAGTGAACACGATGTAAAATCAGACAGAACGTATATTCGAGAGTATAGTCCGACTCCCTAAGATTCCCCATTCATCCTGCCGAGTATGTTAACTTCTCTTTCATTACACGTTAGAACTTGTAATTCCTCCTTTACAGTCCAACCCAGTGTCTCAGTGTTTTCTACAAGAAAGTAGAAAAAGGATGAGTTACACACGCTAATTCTATTGTGAAGCAAACAGCCTTTATTTAATGTGAAGTCAGAAATATATGTAGAGAATAACTGTGTCATGATTTTTGTACTCGCATTACTTGTAAAACTTTTCTTTTTTCTCTCATTCGAGAAACAGTACAACAAAATAAAACAGATTTCATTTGATAAATTATAACAATAATTCAATATCCTTCTGAGGTTCCTCTGGATTGTGTTAATAGCTTTTCCAATCTTCCTTGTGTTGACTTCTTCTCATGTGGCATGGTTGATCGCGAGAGAGCATCACGAGGCGTGAGGACCCTATACATTTTGCTGTTATGATAGGGTCCTTTTCTACCCATTTGAAGAGGGGGAAATACAAATAATTTGTGTATTAAACCGTTGCCGAGATCACTATTGCGCAATCCGAATAGGAATATAAAATCTCAGCAATATCTATTGATTGTTTGGAGGGGGAGCGAGCTGGTCATTATAATAGTTTATTGTCTAACAACACCTATAAATGTCCATGTATATGCAAAATTTCATTCTCTCGCAAAATCCATTATAAGGAAAATATAATCTTATAGTGGTATGTCACGTTGATTGCATGCTTGGCTTGTGATCAGTAAAATTTTATTTTTATCGGGTCATCGTTTATGAATGTTAAAATATATGATCTTTCTGAGGGCATAACAACTCTATTACCAACACTATATCGATTGATCATATCACTCTATATATCTCACTGTCCTCAAGTAGAGATTTATAATATAGACATATATAATACATAATTATTTTTCTTAACCATCTTATTATATTCTCACATCGCACAACTCACAACACGCTACTACGAACGCACTCGCATTATATATGCAGTTACATATTACATTTCATACATATATGTATAATTCTTTTCAATGCGTCTGTTGATGCTATGTTTGCAATTCTGCGTTTCAGTCTGATCGTATTTGATTGCGCAGTGTCTCTTTTTTCTTCATATGCATTCTGAGAATTGAGGTGTGCTTGTTTTGTCTTTTGAGTATGGTGGGCTTGGTTAGAATACCTGGTTGTCAGAGGATTGTAATTAATTGCATTCTGTTTGAGGAGCGAATTTAAGTTTTTGATTGCTTTAGCTTGATGCGTTGCTAGTCGTGCTAGGCCATAGTGGAGAACTGTAGACTTATTATTCACTCCTAATTAATACTCACTTATTTGGGACAATAATCCTACTAGGTGAAAACTTTCCTTGCGCAGTATTATTATTTATGAGATATTACCTGATTCACTGAGTTATGTACCTGTATAATGGTATATGGATTAATAGTAATTTGAACTACATAAAATACTAGTTATGTATATATATATATATCAACATTATATATAAATAATTAATATATAATATATATATGTATATTATATATATAATATATATATGTAATTATATATATATATATTATATATTATAATATTAATTATAAGTATATTAATGATTAATATATTATATTATATTAATATATATATTATTATATAATATAGATTGAAATTATTAGAAATTTATAATTGGGTTATTATTCATTTATTTAATATATTATGTTTCAGAGACTGATGACCATTAGATCAGAATATCTGCCCAAGTAGCTAAATATATATATCACGAGGTCTTCTATATTATGAGAGGATAATATATATTAATAATTTACACTACAGGCTTCACAACATGTAATAAATATTATTAATATTATTGATTAATTATATTATTTATATTATTTGTCAGAGAATGATTCGCTGGTGGAATTACCTATTATGAATATAGGGGCATATAGGGATATTAAAGTATTTATATATAGAAATGCATCTACACAACATGTCTCTTTGTCTCAGACTGAAGTCATTATTGAGTGCCAAGAGCAAGCGGAGTATTTGGTTTTACCACATATAAGGTACAAGTTTAGGATAGTGATAAAATCTCGAGAGAGCATTAATATTATATATGACCAACAATTTCTATGGAATATGGAGTCATAGTATTAGGGAGAGTGAGGACTAGGAGATTAATATCAGATTATGTATATATGGAAGAAATATCACTACGCTAATAGATTGTATTATATATGAGTACTTATTGAGAGAGATAGAATGTTCATGAGTATGAGTCACTATAAGGTGTGCAGTTGAGTGAAGGATAAGTATGTGGAGAGTGAGTCTAATATAGAAATAAGTAGGTAAGGCACATCTATGACAGAGACGCTAGCCGAGGCCCACCATCTTTATGAACTTACATACTATCATAGAACCCTACTAAGCAAGTGCTATCCAGGATAATAGATAATACTATCGTGAGAAATATGTAAGCTAAATGAATATATGACAAGGAGGGGTATATATCGTCGTCATATATAATTATATTTATTATAATATAATATATTTGATATATATATAATTATAATATATATATTAATTAATATTTATATATGATATATATTATATATATATAATTATATATATAATCAATTTGTCAGGTAGGTTTTGTATGATGTAGTAGTTCAGTATGTTAGTGTGAGTTGTGTGTTAGTGTTGTTATTGTATGTATTGTGTTTTATGTGTGTGCGTGTGGGTAAATAGTATTAATATCATAGTATTGCATAAGTTATTCATTTATCAGTAATGCATTTATTATTAGTCATTATATATCTAAATATGCATTTATAATCTAAATATAGTTAATACATTATAAATAATTATAAATATTAGTATTTGTATGTTGTGTGTAAAGGTAGAGAGTCAATTTATATAGTGTCACGTATACACTTATATTACCTGATCACATATCAGAAAGATAAAAAAAAAAATATAATAAATGCCCCTTAACCTAATATCAAAAAACAGTCAAATATGATTAATAATACTGCGCCTTATATATATTAATATCACTATACTATGTCACTAGAGTGATCGCTATATTCCGAGAGACGGACCAAGCCTAGCTAAATAATAGTGAAATAGAGTGACTTACTGGGGAGGAGTGAGAGGAGTGGAGTGAGGTCGTAGGCTTTTTTAGTAACATAGTCACAGATTACCATAACACCGAGCTACTAGAGTCAAGCATAGTTATGATGAAGCCTACCCATTATTGTACGACTCCAGTATAAATGTATTCCATTTAGACTTAGATATGTATGGAACAATTCTATCACAAAGGCAGATTCAAATCGATAGCGCGAGGAGAAATACAAAATTATATTTATTTTCTTCTCATTGCTAATGTAACGAAACTGTTATAATTATAGAGATGCTATAATTCACCTTGACATTAACAGCAATATGCTATTAGTGTCAAGGTGAATTACAGTGAAAATATCAAAATTCTTTTTCTCATTTATGTTCACATTTTGATTTTTCTCACACTTGACCGTATCTTTTTTGTTGGATTTAATGTTGCAATACTGAGTCACAAGTTAAAAAATAACTAACTACCTGTAAAATACATCTACATAATCTTTATAGTGAAGTATATATTACATATACAGTGTACACTATAAAATAAATAGTTAGTAAATAAATTAACGCACCTGGAATCTGTTCTTAATCTTTTCTGACAGAAGAGTTTTAGCAAATTCAAAAATTGCAAACAGTGCCGTGGGCAAATTCACAAAGTGAATCTCCTTGTGCCGCATTGGAATGGTTTTCTGGAAGAAGAGAAAAATTTTACTTTCAACTAATAAGATAACTGCATCAGTAATAATTCAATAAAGAAAGTAAAGTAAAACAATTGGACAATGTTCATAACAGCACAAAAAAAAATCTTTATTATCCAAGTGACAGCTATGAAAGAATTTTAGTTAATTTCATTTAACTAAAAAGATAAATTCATTAAGAACAAAGTTCTAACATATTGTTACATTTGAATCTTGGGGGTAATTATGAACACAATATTTTAAGCAAAGTTTCTTATGCTAAGTTACATGAGACTATTATGATAGGACAAACAGATTTAACTTGATATGATATGATACAAGTGCTTATATCATGAGGACCAGTTGAACACCTCAAACCTGGGGAGGTGGGGGGGGATAAAGCTACAACAAATATGTAGAAAGGTATGAATGAGAAGTAATACCTTCACAATACCAGAGATGTATTTAACCAGTTTCAAATACATCTTCGGCAGAAATACATGAATAAGATATTCATATATTCAAAACCGGTCAAATTCATTTCTTGTATTGTTGAGATATTCATTCTCATTCATACCTTTCAACCTTTGTCAACATGAATACGGTTCATAATACTGCACCAAATGCATACTTTGGGGTTATCAGGCATTTTCTGATGGCTATGGGATATATTTTGTTCTAGGGTCTCAGAATTTTGTCAAATGATGGATAAATGTTTCATTACTAACAAAAGTGAACCAAAGCAACACATAATTCCCAATTATTACCAAAATGCCAACTTCACATTAATTTGGGTTTAGCATAGTGACCATCGGGGATGACTCTAAACTTTCTATCTATCTATCTAATCTATCTATGTATCTATCTAATCTATGTATGTATGTATGTATCTATCTATCTATCTATCAATGTCTATCTGTTCATTCATTCATTTATATAATTTCCTTTCTTTCATTTACTTTCTTTTATTCCATTTTACTTCCCTCCCTCCCCACACTTCATATTACACTGACCTCTCCCCATGTTTTATTTTCCACTTACTGACACAGAGAAACCCATTGACCTTACCTCACAACATTGGAAAGCTTTAGTGACATCAGCAGGTGACCAAAGTGTGATAATGGAAAGACCAACATCCTTCTCGTCAAAAATGTATGTGAATCCTCGGACCTGATTTTCTTCATCTTCTAAAAGGGATTCGAAGGCAATTTGCATGGACTTCATTTGATCTGAAGTGGTGTGTTTGGTTGGATCCATTCTGCCTGAAAAAAGGAAGAGACATTAAATTCCGTGAACGTTTTTATTTCGTCGTGAAGAAATAAAGGTTACACGAAATACATATAACTGAATGGAAAAGAATCTTCGATCAATGGGTAATTTAAGTGATAGCAAAAACCTCGGCTGGAAAGGTGGTATGGTAAAGCAACTCTAGTATGCACTTTCATACAAGAGATTGAATATCTCCACAACAGAAGAGATGCATTTGACCATTGACCAGTTCTGATTATATCTTCGTAAAAAATACATGTTGGCCTATTTCTGACCAAGATATAACAGAAACCCGTCAAATACATCTTTTGTATTGCTAAGATACTCATAATCATTCATATCTTTTCTACATTTGTCACAATGAACATGGTTCTTATCTTCATAAGGTGAAAATTGTTAGACAGCACTATTGCAAATGACATAATATATAATATATATTATATATATATATATTATATATATATATATATATATATATATATATATATATATATATATATATATATATATATATATATATATATATTTATATATATATATTGATATTGAGAAAATAGTACTTTAAAGTGTGACTCAATTATTACTTTTTTATATTTATATATGAATATATACAGATAACAATCCCTAATCAAACAAGCGACATCAAGCCACATTTCCCTGATTAACAAACATTCTCCTAACTAAACTAAGAGACATTACCAAACTGAAATTACAAAAGAAACTACAGAACACAAAACAACAAAATCTTCTGGACTCTCTTACCAGCAACACTGAAGAACACCCTCCTCCCGGAGTCGTCCCTCTCCGGCAGGGCAAAGAAGTACCCCCTGTCAATGAGGTTCTCTATCATGGGGTCCTTGATGTCGAGACCGTGGAACCAGTGTGTGTTCTCCGTGCGCATGTGAAGGTATTTCTCCAGCAGTTCTTGAGCTTCGCGGATCCTGAACTTTTTCATGCGGAGAAATCGCAACAGGAAGTTCCCGTCTGCAAGAAAGGCGGGTTTGGTTTGAGAATAGGAATTGGGAGAAAGAAAGAGAAGAAAGGCGGGCGTGGTATAGGAATTGGGGGTGGGGAAGAAAGAGGTATCTTTAGTTTGTAAGTCGAGTTTGTGTGAGGTGTGTGTTACACGGATGGTTTCTTGGGTGTACTGTATATAGAGATCGTCGTGGATTTATAATTGATGAATCGAATATCCGTCACGCAAATATCTAATTTAATATGATCTACATCTTTACATATACTGTATTATGTACTACAAAATTTAAATAACAAATATCAAAAGTAACACATTAATAAATTTCTCTACTACAACTGGCAATAACTACAGTAATCAAGATCAGCCTTCTTTAACAATAAAATAACACAAAAGTAAACAATAAAAAATGCATTAGTCCCCCCATACAGCGCAGGGAAACCCAGCACGTGGTCTCTGTTTACCTCAGACACGACACCAGGGGCAAGCAACCATCACAGGCAGTTGGTAATTACTAAATTTCCCTTTCATTCTGACGCCGCATTAACTCGGTGAAACCAGACTGATCCCTTTAAATTTTGCCGGTGAAATCAGGAGGGGGTTTAAAGCACTAAGCCCTCTCTCTTTCCCCAAACATTCGCTGTTTTGCTAAACTCTGCTGATGTTGTGTTGTGTGTCATGTTTACTCAAGGTAATTTTTCTTCGCTTCTTCATCTGATTCGCTTTTATGCCTATACCCTTGGTTTATTCAATGATCTGGCCGTTCAGTTATTAACTTACACATCTGCGTTAATTTTCATTTATATATTTTTTATACTATGGTTCTACTTAGCCATTAACTACTAATTCTTACTGTTATAACCACTGCCTTTGCAAATAAGTTTATGGACAAACAGTGAAGTACTTTATGTTATACAACAGTAATAATAACAACCTAAATAACGAAAGTAGAAATACATCATCTACTGTATCTAAAAGCTTTAGAAAATAACACCAAATGACAAGAAAGGGAAGGGGGGGGGATTGCCTGGAATACTGACTTATTAGTTGCCTCACTCGACCGAAGGTGCAAGCAGTCAAGTGTCCATAATTTAGGTCTTAGGTGTTTGATTTGGCGAGGGGGATAGTGGCAGAAATTATAACGTTGAAAGCAGTCAAAATGTAGCACGGTATTAGAAGCCATGCGTGCGTATATTTGCGTGAGTGAGAGACTTGCGTGAGCGTTTGTTTTGGGGCGATTTGGGAGTGAGGGGAGAAAGAAAAGGGGGGAAGGAAGGAGGAAGAGGGAAAAGGAGGAAGAGAAAGAGAGAGAGAGAAAGGAGGGAGGAGGAGGAGGGAGAGAGAGGAGAGAGAGAGAGAGAGAGAGAGAGAGAGAGAGAGAGAGAGAGAGAGAGAGAGAGAGAGAGAGAGAGAGAGAGAGAGAGAGAGACAGAGACAGAGACAGAGAGACAGAGACAGAGAGACAGACAGAGACAGACAGACAGACAGACAGACAGAGACAGAGACAGAGACAGACAGAGAGAGCAGAGACAAGTCAGAAAAGAGACAAAGAAAAAAAAAACTAACAGAGACAGAAACAGTGGCGGAGACCGAGCACGCGCGCGCCAACCCACAGACCCGCCGCCACACCAAACCCCCCAACTCACCGAGCCTGCACTTGGTGATGGCCGTGTTCCTGGCCACGAACTCCCTCATGGCCTTCAGTCCCGCGACCCTCGTGGCCTCGTCCTCCATCAGGTCCCTGGAGGCCACTTTCCTAACCTCCGGCGGCAGAGTGCACACATACTCGTCCTCCCCCAACACGGCAAAGGCCTCTGCAGCACCGTAGGGACTCCCCATTTTCGCTCCTGTGGGAAAAGAAAGAGGAAGGTTAAGCAAAAATGTGAGATTTCAGACTCCTATTTTGTTATTTATTATTGGTATTTTTTGTTATGTTGTCATGTTATTTGTCATTGGTGTTTTCTGTGATGTCATGTTATTGTAATGTTATTTATTGCTGGTAGTTTCTGCAGTGCTGTAATGTTTTTGTTTTTGTTTTTTTACTGTAATGATATGTTATTTTTCCTGTAATGCTGTTGTTATTTATTGCCGGCATTTTGTCATGCTGTAATGTTATATATTACTGGCACGTTTTTTAGTAATGCTGTTTATGTAATATTTTTCTACCATTCTTATCTTTCCCTTATCAACCGTAATCATAAATCGAAGTATATTCACACTGAGGTTTCTTCTCTCATCATCATAATACCGGGGACTATCACACTAACTTATAAACATACAAAAACCCCACCTACAAAAAAATAACAATGATGATTAACCTCAAAAGCGAGAATAAAATCAACGAATCAAAAGGAAACGACATCATTAGGCCTCAGTAATTGCAAGACCCATTAGCAAACCACTCGTTAAGGCCTTTGATGTCTTGCCCAAGCCACGAAAACCGCTGCTTCTGTGCCGAGGCCAAACCAAGTAAAAAGAATAATGATAAAAAAGAAAAGAAAAGAAGAATCAGACTTATTCGTTACAATGTGAAATAAGCAATTAACACAGTACGTCATCATATAATAATAATATAATAATAATAATAATAATAATAATAATAATAATAATAATAATAATAATGATTGATGATAATAATGATGATAATGATAATGATAATGATAATGATAATGATAATGATGATGATCATGGTGATGGTGATAATAATGATGATGATGATAATAATAATGATATAAAACATTACTATGATAATGATAATGATGGATAGTGATTATGACATTGATGACAATAATAAATGGCTGAAAGACGGGAAGAATCATTAACGGAGGATCTTAACCTTAATATATAATTAATATATTAGTATTACAACGGCTGCAAGTCACGTCAGAGGTAGAAAGTATTAACCTCATCTTTGTGGGATAAGCTCTACCACAATGTCATTTGGCTAATTGTTTTGTGGTCGTATCCCTACGGTGCGTGTGCGTGTAAATATAAATATAAATAAATAGATATTTATGTACGTTTTTACTTCTTTTGTCTCTCCTTTTTCTACTTTTTGTGCGTGTAAATATAAACATAAATACATAGATATTTATATACGTTTTTACTGCTTTTGTCTCTTCTTTTTCTGCTTTATTTTATCTTTTTCTTCTGTTCGATTATACACGGTACGCTATATGAAGTTAAACGCTACACATGATATACTATACCCTATACACGCATTACTTTGTCATAGCATTACAGTCTCGGTCAAAACTCTTGTCAAACCTGCTTCGAATCCCGTCTCGAACATACGCTTTCACACCATACTTTTTGTATAGGGTGAGACAGATTCAAAGTTTCGAATCATTACGAGACTTTTGACCGTCGCTCGACCATTCCACAACACAACGCTCACCGCAGGAGAAGTGGCCATAGAGTAACGATCGTCTTTGTAGAATGAAAAGCGAGTATCGTAACTGTGAAAGAGGATAAAAAGTGCTTGATAAGGCGGGAAAATGAAGGGAGGACGGGATTGAAGCAGGCGCAGACAGGGAGTAATAGGATCGTCGTGAGAAAGAAGGAGGAGAATGTAGGAGGAGGGAGGAGGGGAGGTGTTATGTGGAGTGTAAGGCGAAGGGAGTGAAGACAGAGAGAGGAAGAGACGCGAAATGAGATGGAGAGAGACAGAGAGAGAGAGAGGTGGAAAAGGGAAGTGAGGGTAGGGTAGGTAAATGTCATGCAGGGAGAGGGAGTGGATCGGGAGATGTTTTAGGAGGAATGGAGGAAGGAAGGGGTAAGGAAAGGAAATATGGTCAGGCGAGGTAGGAGGCCTGTAGTGGAGGGCGAGAGAAGGCAGCAGAGGGTCAGCTGGTTTGCAGCTGACTGATGAACATCCGATTGGCGGCGTAGGGAACACGATAGAGAGAGTGAGGAAGGAGAGGTGCGAGAGAGTAGAGATGTGATAGAGAGTAGGAGGTGGCAGAGGAGAGAGGAAGAGGAGAAGGGAATGGAGGGTGAGGGTAGAGAGAAGAGGAGAGGGTGAGGATGGAAAGTGAAGCGGATGCATGGAGGGATGGCGGAGGTGAAGGTGAGAGTGAGAGAAAGGTACGTAGAAGGGAATGTTAGAGTGGTAAGGTTTAAGGAGACCAACGCCAATACATCATTTGCATGATATACTTGCAGCAGCGAAATAGGAGGGGTGGATTTATGGGGAGGAAGGAGTGATCTAAAATCATCACCACATTTAGTATAAGCCGAACGACACTGAAAAACAGAGACAAATATTGTCTTCCTTTTAGTGTCACTTAGATCGAAACTCATCACCTTGGCGACTCATTACTGTACACACGACGTAGGATTTTATTTCGGCTAAATATCGGAAAGAGAATAGGTAATTTTATAGGAAAGGAAGTTTCACGCTTTGTGTTGTTTGTTTTATTTATTATGAAAACTAACATGCCCCACAAAATGCAATAATTATAACTAATAGCTGTTAACTTTTAATAAACTGAGTGTAGTTTATAAAATTTCAAGTTATCTGCAGTGTTTATGCAGTTTTTACCTGAGTGCTCATAGCTGAAAACTAGGAGTAAAATAACCGGTATCTAAATGTGTTTACATTAACCCAAGGAGGAAAATATATGGACATTATGAGAGTGACAAGGTATCTCCCAATTTTTTGCTAGAAACGATAAATAATAATAATATTATACAAACAATAGAGAGAGATGATCTGGCACTTTAACAGTATGGGTGGCGCGAGGAAAATTAAAGTACACTTATTCGCCCGGAATCTGGTAAAATTCAAGCTAGTAGGGCATTGCCGAAAACGAAGGGAACGCACTGGCGTAGCTGAACTCGAAAAAGACAGCACTAGTAGATGCAGCCTTACTGAGGCGCTTTCGCCGTGTGCCACGGAACACGAATAATGTGAGTTGACTGAGGAGTCCAGCCTAGGTGCATGTGCAATGCCACACACTAGAGATGAAAAGATATGATTATTGAGATGAGAGAAATGTTGCGATCGTAACTCGTGAGAAATAGAACAAAATAGAATAATATTGTAAGATGACGAAACCATGACACTGAGTCCACGAGTAGTAATGTATAAACAAAGATGACAACTTTATTCATTAATTTTTGATGTCTAAAAAAAGAAGAAAAAAACACGCAATCCTGATAGAGACATAGCGTGGAGTGAGCTAAACGATCCTGTTAGCCTTGACTAAATCACACCGCTGTAATGGAAGAGAAACCGTAAGTTATAATATGAAAGATAGTATCTATTGGAGTGTTTTCACAATATTCCACTAGGCTGAGGTCAACAAAGTAGATGCAAGAAAATATAAAACTTAGGTCGTGAATATTTACTAAAAAACTAGGCAGCAAAATCAACAATATTCCATGGCAACGCTTGGCCTCAAACTTCATAGATTTTTTTTCTGGGAACCGCAAAAGTTTTAATTAACCGAGTGGAATAGACAGCGGAACGGACTGCTCAATCTTGTCTTACGGTGTTAGAATCTGTCTGAAATCACTTGTGAAGTTCGACTTATTCACGACAAAAAGCACATGAGCAGCCGAAAGAACTGAGACTTGTATTACGTGTCAAACTGATTCTGCTTGTATCTGAGACAGAACGAGGTCCTTGCTGCGATTGCGGAAATGGAGCCTTAAGTTCAGCATCATAATTGATCTCGGTTAGAGCACTGGCTCATTCATTAAGTACTGGGACACGGTTACAAAATTCGCCCAGTGCACTTAAGATGACCTATTGTGTCTATAATGTTAAAATGTTTCCTTGTTCACTTGTATGTGATTCCGTAAAATAATCTAATTTTGGTTCTTACTACAAACAGGAGTAAAAAGTAACACTGTCGTCGCCTCGTGGGCCAAATACCCTAAGTGCTATTGTATCGACAGTTCGTTAAAGGCTGGTCTAGAATATTGACTAGATGAAAGAGAAATGAAAAATGAATTTGTCGGAGGTCCATAATCCGCATGGTATTACGTAGTATTTCGAGATATAGTATCAATGGTACTCGTTGTGAAGTAGCTGACGTAAACACACGAGAATATGTCACAGACTGAAGTAATTATGTCTAGGAATGAGTATCAAATTATCAGAACGGATGGAGTCAGTGAAATATGGCTTTTCCATCTGTCATGTTCTGACTCAAATTATGAGCTAATATCTTTTGAATATTCTCCTTCGAGTGAAAATAATTAAAGCCAAAATTTACGATACACTTAGTCACCTTGAATGTCCTATACTGTATTATCGCGGTTACTCCGCTATGAAAGTTCCTTACAGATGTACACGAGCTCGATTAAATTGACGTTTCATACATACATATACTTAATAATCTGTCGCTCACTCATGAACGAATCCTGTCTATCTCAATTCTTGCCCTCATTGATATAACGATATGAATACATATAATATAATCGGCGTGACCACCGTCCAACCTGTAACTATCGTTGCCTCCAGTAGCTCTCCTGCTTTATGTTCATTCTACTAACAATCGACTGAGGTAAGCGAGAAGAGGCAAATTCTCTCCATTCAACGCCTGCGCGCAGACGATGATTACCAGAAATACTAGCTTCATCCCCACGACGCTGTAAGACTTCTGCCAAAACCGAGTTTTCCGTCGGAAGACTGCAATGACACCGATACGTGAATGGCAACGACTGAAGGCGTGACCACGCTCTGGTGGGACCAAAACAGACAAACTTTCTCACTCTTGGCAACCCCAAGACTTTATGCACGCGGAGACAAAGCATACTCGTCGGGTAACTTGGCGGACCTTTGCAGGACGACGCGAACCGGAGTATACACTCTTGATTTGAATGAACGACAGAGCAA